TCTGAGTTTTGATGATTTTTCCCAAAATTGGCCACGAGGCGCAGCAAGTTGCGGGACTAGGTGACTTGCACCATACATTAATATTTTAATGATCGGCAGCCAAAAAATTATCCACTGTATCATAGTAAAATTCGTGTTACATATACTCTACCCTTAAATAAATTATTATTAATTAATTAATTAATTAATTTTTAATTTTAATAGATTGAATGGAGAGAATTGTTGCATAAATTAGCTTATGCATCCACATGTTCTAATACATTGATCTTGTGTGAAGATTATGAAATATCAACACAAGGTTTTGCACAATTTAGAAATGATTTAATTGAGGCATTTTATAATTGTGAAGGATTTAGTGAAAATCATATAATCATGCATATCTAGCAAGTTCTGCAATTAATACATCATATTCCAATAATGATAGACTTGATTTGCATTTGAGTAATAATAGTAACAATAACAATAATAATATAACATTAACAGAATTAGATAATACTGATGGAATTCAATCACTTGAAGTAAATATCAATGCAAATCAACCTGAAATAATTGATTTAGAAAGTAATAACTTATCAAATGAAATCAATTCATTTCCACTGTATTCTAAGTGTAATTCACATTCTTCACCTCAACAACCTTCATTTCAAATGCCTACCAAAGACCAACTACAACATAATCCATATATTAGAAACAATTCCAATAATAATGGAAACAATAATGTCCAAAGAAGATATAGACAAAGACAAAGATCTAATAATAATAACTTTGAATTTATTAATTATTCTATTGATAATTATGTTAATGGTAACCAACATTAAAGAATTTTAAATTTATGTAGTAAGTTGACTTATAATGGTCCTAAGTTTTAAATTCAAAAGCTATTTTTTCATGAGTTATTTGTTGTTGAGATTATATGTTTTTTGAAAATATTGGGGAAAATAGAAATAGAAATAAAAATAAAAATAACAACCTTTATCAATTTATTCTGATTATCTAATTATGTGTAAATTTTCATAAATTGCATTTTGATGAACAACAAAATTTACCATAATTTGTTTCAATGAATTTATTGAGACACAAGAAAATTGCATTTAAAATTTGTTGTATCACAAATTCAATTAAAAAAAAATATGTCATGGCTTTTAGTCAAATTTTGTTTTTTTTTTTTTGTTTTATGTAGAAATGCAAACTTTCAATCATGAAAATTTCTAAAAAAAATTGAAAAACAATAACACTAATACTAAAGTAAGTCAGGATGTGCTCTAGATAATAATTCCATCACTATTCTTAAACACTTATTGTAAACATTAATTCCATAGCACTCATCATCCTCCAGAGGATTTAGCCTATTCTTTAATTCTAATAAATGCTCATCTGTAAGTATTTTATGTGGATCTTCACATACCACTTGTTCAATATTTTCAGTAGGTACTGGTCCTTCCCAGTCTACACCATACTCATTTACATTGATATCTAAATTTTCCATTCTCCTGAACCCATTTTCAATCATACCTTTTATAAACAATGATGTGGTGTTGAATTATGCTCAGCTCTTATTGAATGATTGTTCCAGGAATCTAGAAAAATCTCCAAGGATCTATTAATTCTAGGTAAAAAAACATAATGCAAGCAAAACATATACAGTGTGTAACAAAAAATTTTGGAATTTTTTATTCATTCATCCTTCAAAAACTATCATATAAAAACGAATAAAAATATATCAAAAATAAAGCTTAAAATCTAAAGTTTTTATTAATGTAAAAATTAATAATTAATTCTTTCACCATTATTTTCAATTATCATCTCACATCTTCTTCTCATTGAACTAACAAGATTAATTATAATATTATTCGGAATTCT